TTGTAATTATTTACAGGGTTAATAGGGGGAGGGGGGAAAAGGTTTCCATGAGGCTCGAACGTGCAACTTACCGAAAGTAAACAGTTCCGACCCAGGGTCCAATACCACTGAACCGGAGCGGACCGTTCGTCAGCTTAAGTCTTCTTATTAAAAGGTCGGGGGTTATGTCTCTTCCTATCATGTGTATCATGCGTGTAACTTGAAAAGTCTTCCCAAAATTTTCCAATCAATCTGTCAATCGGTGGCAGAGCCAGTATAGGACAAGGGGCAGCTGCCCAATGAAAAAGAACTAACATGAATTATAGCAACAAAATGGTAAGAGAAGGTCTGAATACAGGACATGGTTGTTGTCGGCTTGAATACAGGACATGGTCTGAATACAAAATGGTTCACGCTTGTTGTCGGCTTAAGTCTTCTTATTAGAAGGTAGGGGGTAATGTGTCTTCCTGTTACGTATATGCATTCATTTGAAAAGTCTTCCCAAAATTTTCCAATCAATCTGTCAATAAGTGGCAGAGCTAGTATAGGACAGGGGGCAGCTGCCCCTTGAACTTTTGAAAAATATCAAATATGGTGGTATAGGACATGGTTCACTTCACTCCTTACCATTCAACCCAAAGGTTCAAACTCTGCAACAATTAACTCTCTTTGTACCAAATAAAAAAATTGAGCTTACCGTAATCAGTTCACAATTGAGGAAAATGATTCACACACAATGTTTACTATAATGAAATATTATAATCTTAAGTGATGATGACTATAATTATGATAAACTCTTTTCATTTAGTGTGACAAAGAAAATCTGTATTCATTCACTTGGTTTGATTCCATGTATTTATCATAAGATTTCATTTTAAGAAATATTGTCATGAATTAATTTTGATTGAATAAAGCATTACAAATTAATAATGAAAAAGGTGAAAATATTTCAAGGGAAATTGGTGACATGTTACTCATAACTCTGTACATACACTTATGAATCAATGAAATCAAGAAGAGAATTAAGGAAATATTTTAGAGCATTGAAAATCAATTAAGGGGATGATGATTGATGGTTGAATCTTCTTACTGTGGAAATTGAAACTTGTAATTGACTCTTATGGTCATTGATAGAATTAATTAAGTTTTGATTTTGCTGATTTAGTTTGTCTTTGGTTAATAAGGAATTAACTTTTCTGAGAGTTGTTGGGTGAAACTTGTAGAAAATAATACAAATGAAAATTTTAATAGTATGAGTGTGACTTTGGTTCTGAATCTTTTTACAGTGTAAACTTGTAATTGGGTCTTATGATCATTCATAGAATTGAGGCTTGATTTTACTAATTTAATTCTTGTGTCTAGTCAATAAGAAATGGTCTTTTTTGAGAGTTATTGGATGAAACTTATAGAAAATAATACAATCTATTACAATTATAATGAGTTGTAATGATGATTTATTCAGCCATTGTAGGTGAAGTAATTCTTACGGATTTCTTTATATTGACTTGGGGGTAGGTGAAGCAATTTTTACGGATTTCTATATCTTGACTTGGAGATAGTCTTTACAAATTTATTCAGCTATTGTAGGCGCCGGGTTGAGTGCGTTAGAGTGACCAATCTCCTTTCAATGTCGTTAGAGTTATTGCTTAGATATTTCAGGCAGTGGTGGAGATAGGCCGAGGCCTGGAGATATTGAAAAAAACATTTTATGTTAAATTTTAAAGTTGAAAAATTCAAATATATTTATCTTTCTCTCTTAAAAAGTTAAACAAAATGTATTTTTCTTTTAATATCTTCCTGCTAATCTGTATGTCTCCCTAACAAAAGTTATTATTATGAATTTCTTAGTCTTGAATAATCTTTACAAATTTGGTAATCTAGCGACTTCTAACCTAAGTCATCTTGTGGGACAGAACAAGTATAAAAGATTCCATCTAGTAGTGTGCATGTGGATTTTTTAAGCTTGATTTGATTAGTCTTTGCAAATCTGTCTAACCAATGTTATCGGGATGAGTACGTTATGGTGATATTATTACCTTTTTTTCATTTTTATATTTTTGGCTTGAGTAACATCATTACTTAATCTTCTGCCATAACAAATTATTAAATGCATAAAATGGGCGGACTAACTTCTGAGCATGTTTTGTCAAATGGATCAATAGTCATGGTTATAGATGAAGGGCAGTTGAGTAAGTATACTTTTATAAATGATGGTTTCATTTCAGCGATACAACCGAGCTTGAATTGGAGTATCGTTATGGCTATCTTTTAGGACAGGAGGAGGTGTCCACCACAAGATAAAGTTCCCAAAAAGGATCATTAATTACTTCTTTGGCCTTAGTATATTTATAGTATGTATGTTTGTGTTGAAAATAATGAAGGAGAGGGCAGGAAGGAGAGAGGAATTTTATTCCTCTATTCCCCTCTCCTCCCTTCCCCTTATTTAGATAAGTTAACAAATTAAGAGAAAAAAGAACGAAAAATTTTTCCATCCTCTCTTCTCCAATTTTTTTTTATAACTAAATAGAGAAAAATTTTACTTTTTCCCCCAATTCCGTCCATCCGTCCATTCTCCTCAACATAAAGATACAGCTAGTGGTATATAATTAAAAGTCAAACATGCTTTTTTGGAGAAATCATTAGGTTGACACTACAATAAAAACACAATCGAAAAAAAAAAAAAAAGCAAGACAAATAAAAATATTTTTCATTACAAAAGACACAAGGAGACATGCGTAAACTGGTCCAGACAGTGATTGAAGTCATATTCCAGGACAAAACATTTGTAACTTGTAAGAGATTCCATTACTGAAGTACCTGTACAAATTAGTCTTCTCGTGGGGGGACCTGGCCGCTCCAGTATGAGTTCTTTTTCATTACACAAAGTAGCTAGCTCTGAATTGATGGATGACATTAATTAAGTCATCTTGTAGGACAAATTATTTATAGATGATTCCTTTAGGTCTTTTCTTTTACTTTTACGTCAAGGATATTGCTTTTTATAGCTACAAATTGTTAATTACCTAATACAACCTACAATATGCTCTAGGAGAAAGGAAAATGTTAGTACATAAACAAAATTGAACAAGAAAAATTAAGATAAAAATGTTATTCGTCCAAAAGCAAAAGAAATGAAGAACTGCTAATGGAAAAATACTAATTTGTATCATCTTTTTTCCACCGACTTGAACTGTCCAAAAATTCATTTTTGACTTTATTTGTGTTGAAATATTCAACTGATCAATTTTTGTTTTCTTTTCCTAGGACAAAATGCATAAGGGTGAAAAATGATAAGAAAAGGATTAAAATTAACAATGACTTGTGTTAGCGGACATTCATCAAGTTACGAGAGTTTTGCCAAGAAACCTTTTTACTTGTATAAATACGTGTCAATGCAAGCCTATGCATTCTATCCCCAAGACATTCAGAATCTAGTTGGTATTATGGCATCACCCTTGTTCATCCTCCTGATGCTTCAGGCTTTTCTTGTTTCTACTTCTGTTTCTTCCACTGTGTCTTTCTCTCTTAATCAAACAGAAACTCTTCTCAAATGGAAAACCAGTCTCGACAACCAAAGCCAAAGCTTCCTCTCATCTTGGGTTGGGGACCGTCCTTGCAGATGGGTTGGAATTGCTTGTAATAAAGCTAAAAGAATCATCAGCATATCCATTCATGATTATGGCCTTAGAGGTACAATTCATGGCCTTAATTTCTTTGCCTTCCCTGACCTAATGCAGCTCAATCTTAGCAATAATTCACTTCATGGGACAATTCCTTCCCACATTGTTAAATTGTCCAAACTTACTTATCTTGTTTTGTCTTATAATAACTTCTCGGGGAACATTCCTTTTGAGGTAGGATTGCTTAAATCTCTCATTGAACTTTATTTGGGAAATAACAATTTTTCTGGTTCAATCCCTACTTCTATAGGGAACTTGAGCAACCTATCTTTTCTTTCTCTCTATGATAACATGCTTTCTGGCTCAATCCCTACTTCCATATGGAACTTGAGCAACCTAT